CTACCCTAACACTGTCCAAGAGGACAGATGGCTCACATACATAGATGCTGGGTGTAGGAGGGTTAAGTTTTTCCCGGGGCAGCTTCTCCTCAGTGTTGATCTTCGGTTTCACAGACTGGGCAGGGGAAAGGTAGGACTCTCGAAACTTCCCTTTTACCTTGGCATTCCTGTGGGAGGAAAACAGAAACATCAGGGTAATACGGGGAGGAGTCTATCCCTGGCCATGTTTGCAGCCTTGGGGTTAAGAGCACCCAACTCACTTGCTGGCACGCACGACATCAGCAGCACAGTGGCTAATGGTGAGGTCTGCCATGCGCAATCGCCGCTCTTCTACCTCAGAGGCTATGAAGGTCTCCTTGTCACCACTTTCTACCTTGATGAGCCGGATCTTCAGCTCCTTGGGGGGCCCCTCGCTAAGTGAGCGCAACTTTAGCATGTCAGCACGACTGACACCTGGGGGCCCTGGAGCTTCCTCTCGAGTCTTCTTTCCAGGGACAGAGGCTGACGGGGGTGTGGGCTGGGCAGAGGGAGCAGGAGTTGGTGGAGGAACGGGAGCTGTGGGTGGCTTGGCCTTGGATGACCCACCAAGATCAGGACGGGCCTTCTCCCGACCCTGGATCTCCTCGCTCTGCAGGTCCAGGTTCCCTAGCACCCGGCGGCTCTTTTCTTTGGGGGTCTTGGTCTTGGCTTTGGCCCTCCCCTCACGGGGCCGCCGACCCACACTGTCCTTACAGGCTCTCCTGTGCCTACGATGCTCTTTCTGGTGCTCCTTCTGGTGTTCTTTCTGCCGCCGCTTGCCACTGCCTGGTCCTGTTGCAACCACAGCCACCACCCCACCACTTTCCTCCTTGGTCTGTGCAGAAGGCATCAGTCGCTCAGTTCCACTGTCCACTGGGTCTGCTGTGTCCACTGGGTTGATGGCACTCCGGCCCACCCGCTCCACAAGGGTCTCACAAGCCCGACTGATCTCTTCTAGCACCTCAGACTCAGAGCGAGCAGGGGGCAGTGGCAGGGGTGGGGGCGGCTGGGCAGGGGTCACCGGGCCGGGAGCTGGCTCTTCACCAGCCCTGCGTTCCCGGGCCCAGGGCCCGCCTGAGGTAGAGAACTGAGATGACGAGGAAGCGGAGGGCTGTGGGGAGCCCTGGGCGCTAGGGACCACTGAGGTGGGTGGCGGGGCAGTAGCACCTGATGGGGGACCAGGGGAATACTGAGTGGTGGGTAAGGGCCCAGGTCGGGTGGAAACAGCTGTTCCAGGCCCCCGATAACAGTACTTTTGTCCCTCCAGCACAGAAGCCAAGGATTTGAGCAAGCTGGCTGGGTTGGCTGGTGGGGGTGGTGGGGGCTGTGGCGGTTGTGGCTGGGGAGGTGGAGGGAACTTGGCTAGGGGCGGTGGTGGTGGCAGGGCTGGTGGTGGCTTCTTCTCCTCTTCCTGGGTGGTGGTGGTGGTGGTGGTGGTGGTGGTAGTGGTGGTGGTTGCAGCAGCTGTGGCAGCAGTGGTGGTTGGGACTGTGTCGCTGGGGAATGGAGGCTGTAGAGATGCAAAGGGTTCCTTCAGCGGGGGTGGGAGGACCACGCCTGCCTCCTGCTGCTGCTGCTCCTCCTCCTTTCTAATTGATTCATCCAGCATCTTCATGATGTTAGCCAGCCCATCGGGTAGAATCTTGAACTCAGCTGGCTCCTCAAACTGGTCCTCCAGCGGGGTTGGGGGAAAATCAAAGAGTCGTGGGCCTCTTGCAGGCAGCTCCCCAACCCCAGGAGGCACAGGCTGGGGGGCTTTACTCAGGGGGCCTGGGGGTGGCCCTGGCCCCACCTCGGGGGTCTTTGGGAAGGAGACCCTGGGCCGGGGGCTCTCCGAGCGCCTGAAGCTTCCTGAGGTATTTTGGTGGCAGGAGGAGGGAGGGGTTGGAGGCAGGGCAAGAGTCAGGGGTGCAATAGGTGGGTCCTGGGGGCTTAATGTTGGGCTGGGTGGCCGGGGAAGGGAGTCCATATTTCTGGCCAGATAAGGTGGGGGGAAGGGCACAGGCCCAGTAGGACTGCTGCTGTGGCTGCCATTGTTGCTGCTGCTGCTGCTACTGCTGGTGGTTGAGGGAGTGGGAGGGGTGTGAGAATCCTGAGTGCCCACAGAAAAGCGGGGGGCTGGAGGCCCCAAGAAGCCCTCTCGGTGGGGAAGTGGGGGAGGGCGAGGGGGCCCCTCAGCCCCAAAGAAGAGCTCTTCTAAGATCTCTCCATCCTCTCGGGCTGTCCTGCAAGCCTGGCCCTTCAGCCAGGCAGGGGGTGGGGGTGGGCGTAGGAGGCGGGGACAGGGGGGTGGAGGGGAAGAGGAGGGCCCAGGTGGCAGGGACAGGTGGGGAGTGGCAGCAGGAGCTGCCAAGAACGGTTTTCGACTGTTGTGTGCCGAGGACCCTAGGCGACCCTGGTGAGGGGAGACCTCCAGCGCAGGAGTTTGGTAATGGTCAGCGCCAGGCTGTAATATAGAATGGAGTGGTCAGAGTGATGCTCTGGCCACCTCATAAAAGCTTCACCCCATCTTCCACCACAGGTGATCACTCACAATGCCTGGGCTGGGCTCCACACCACGAAGACCGGTGTTGCTGCTGCTGCTGCTGCTGCTACTGCTGCTGCTGGTGGTACTGGGGAGGCCAGGGGGCCGGGAAGGGGCGTAAGGCACGCAGGCGGTAGTTGCTGCTGGTGAAACGCTGGAGTCCATCCGCGACCTCTGAACTCTGCTCTCTCTAAGGTCACTTCCGGGGGGACGGGTGGCAGGCAGGCAGCCATGGCTCTCTGCTCCTGGGGGGCGGGGGCTGGGGCCTGGGGGTGTGGCTGGGACCAGCCGGTGGCTGGGGGGGTGCGCAGTGTAGGCTGGAGCTGGGTATGGATATGGGTGAGGCAGTGAGTGCCGCTGTTCCTATGGGAGATACATAAGGATGCAGGATAAGTATAGAAGGTACTGAACTTATAGGTAAAAAGGCCTCAAGCAAGAAACCTGGGCTCACCTGACGCTCTGGGGGTGCTGAACTCTTGCGGTCGGGGCCCCAGGTATCTCCATGCAAGGTACTCCATAGCCCTGGCTTGGTCAGCTGAAATGGAGGGCTCGTAGCCAGGCCAGGCAGCGGGGGTGGTGGTGGTGGTGGTGGTGGTGGTGGTGGTAATGGTGGTGGAGGCAGTGGCAGCCCTGGGGGAAGGCCAGTCTAGAAGAAAAGAGTGTGTTGAGAATCTTACTCCTTGTTCCAGACCTGTGTACTCTCTGCCTGCTGGCCTACCTACAACCATACCTGTTCAGAACTGCAGCCTCTCCTGCGCTTGCCTCCAGGGCTGAGGCCCTCCTCCCCTGAGGGGCCTGAAAGTGCTGCAGGAGGAATAGGCTGCACTACTGGGGGTTCGGCAGCTTGCTTCACGGGGGGACCCCCTCGCTTGGCTCCATAGTTCCGCTTGTGCTGAGGACAAAATGAAGAGAGACAATGGCATGGGTGCAGGTCTAGCCCAGCCCTCTTCCCTAACCCACTTATGTTATATGTTATGTTATATCCCCATCCTCACCTCAAGGTGCAGCAAGTTCCACACTTGCTCCAGAGGAGGAAGGATCTTGGCTCTGTGCTGGCAGGAGCCAGCATGAAAGTTCCAGAGCTGAGCCTGAGGGGTCAAAGGGCAGAAGAAGGCATAAGGTGGGGGCACTGAGACAGAAGGCACATTCTTAGCCAGCTAGGTCCTGCTTCATCCCACCTGCTGTAGTCGCCCAATGCGGGGCCCCAGCTCAGAGAAGCTTCCTCCATATCGAAGGGCGCTGTGGTAGCAGCGTATAGCCTCCTCACTGTCATGTTCTGACTCGTACAGCTGCCCAAGCTGTTCCCACAGTCCTGGCTGGGCTGGCTCCCGGAGCAATGCCTGCACACATCCATGCAAGGATTCCAGCTTTCCATGGAGGGGTCTTGGGGTGGGTGTCCTAAAGAATAGAAGGGATTCAGAAAGGTTAGGCTTCAGGGAAATATTTCAAGGCCCCAGTCTTTACTTCCCATTTCAGAACTTTTGAATCCCCCACTCACCCTGGAGCATAGTATGGTTTGTTGGGATGTCCAGAGCTACTGCCATGCGAAGTGGGTAGGGGAGCAGGGAGTGGGGGTTGCCCGATGCTGGCTGAGCATCTGGAAAGAGAAGGGTTATATTATATACCACAAGAAGGAATAAGAGCACTGAAAATAGTACTGAGGCCCATGAAATGATAGAAACCATACAGAATGATTCAGAGATTGAGGGGTAGAGAAGATAGAAAGAAGAGTGCTGGAAGACACAGTTCAAGTGCTTACCTGCCTCCAGGCAGCCATGCGCCTCGAGGAGGGGGATGGGGCGGGCAGGAGCTCCAGGCCCCAGCACAGCTCAAGCCCCCAAGGGCAAAGGCTTCCCGTGCAGTGCGGGCCCCTGGAGGGTCCACTGCCCGATGCATCCAGCCTAAGTAGGGGATAAGATTGTGTTCTTACTGGAGGCAAAAGCAGAGCTGCCAGTGTACACCCAGCCAACCCAGGCCCAGTTTTTCCCTTACCAGGTCAGCAGTGGCCCCAGGAGCCCTGGAGATCGGGCACGGCCCCCTGCCCCAGCTCTCTGGGAAGCTGGGAGGATGGACCGGCTCCAGCCGCTCTGACAAGAGTGCCCACTGTACCCAGATGGCAGCCACTAGCCTTTCACAGCCAATTCTACAGAAAGAGGCAAAAAGAGTGCAGTGAGCTGGCCAGCACACAGGCCCAGGGGTTGGGTTGGAATGCTTGTAGCACCCCCAGGTCTGCTTTTTTGTGCAGGAAGTCTGAGGGGAGATCTACAGGGCCTAAGGGTCCCTGAAGTCCTGAAAAGTAGTGTCACTATAAGTTCAGAGTGACAGGGAGCCAACTGTGGGGCGACTGTGTGGTTGCACTACCTACTAGGTTTCAGCTCCAGGGACATGCCTGCTGACCCACAAACCCCGCAACGTTGCTGCTGCTTACCCGGCCTCGGCGGGAGCGTCCTCTTACGCGTCGGCGAGCTTCAGAGATCTGGCCAATCACAGGACTTCCTCTTTCCCCGGAAAGCCAATCATCACCCGTGTCTCCGCCTCAGTAACAGCCCGGCTGGAACCAATGGGAGCAAGGTTAGCCCGGCAGGCAGCGCCTGGGGAGGAGGGGCGGAGGAGCCGGTCAGACGGGATCGGCCTGGGGTGACCCCGATGTGACCCCTCGGCTCCCACCAAGGGTCCCATCTCGGATGTGATACCCGGGGTAGTAGGGCAATAGCTACAAGCAGGTGGGCAAAGCACAACAGGCACGGGTGAGGACGGTGAGTCGCACACTTGGGCAGGCATGGCATTACCGGCGAGTCTCACGCACCCACGGAACTATTCGTGGTCTCTGCCACCCCAGGACCGATGGGGTGCAGATGGATCCAGAACGCAAAGACATCTCTTCCCATTCTCATTTTGCCTCACCTAGTGACTGAGCCAACCACCCTCAGCCCCTCTTTGAACTGCTTAGGGCTAGCCAGCTGTGCCAACTAAGACACCCAAACCCATCCGTGCCGCTAAGAGCACTCCACTCCCAAGGCCTGACACAGTCCCAAACAACAGTCAAGTCTCCAACCTCATACCAATTCCTTTGGCTCCTCCACTTCCCCAGGCTCTCTGGGTCTTCAATACCAACCGACCCCCCAAGCCAGACACCCCCCACACACACCGCTTTAACACCAACTTCTGAGAAGTTGCGCACCGTGGTCCCGAGTGGCCCCTCTCGCGTGGCTCCGGTATCCTGTATGCCCTTTCCCCGCCGGGGCCACGCGGTTCCCCACGGCCCACGTGGCCCCCACCCCCCCGAGGGAGGGGGGATTTCGGGGGTTGCCCGTGACGTGGCTACTTGCGCAGCGGAAGCGGAGTGTGTAAGTGTACTGAGGGGGGGGGTGTCCTTCGGGAGGGATGAGGCGGGGCCCGACGAGCAGTGACATCACCCTTGTCCCACTCTCACCGCCTACTCCCTTAAAGAACCCAGAACCCGTTTTACTTCCTCCCTCACGCGCCCCCCCCCCTGCCCTCGATGCTGGCGTGACCCACAGTAGACACAGCACTCCCCTCTCCTGGGTACCTTCCCTTTAGCCTCAGCTCTTCCTTCTTGCTCTCTGAACCCAGGAACTAAGTCCCCGCGCCTACCCCACATTCTCCCAGGTAGGAAGCCGGCTGTGCTCCCAGGATCGGTCCATTGAGAGTCTAGAGTACAAAGAGCTGTGAGAGCTGAGAGTCGAGTACAAAGCGGCGGGGGCGGGGCTAGCGCTCCAGCTGGAGCCAGAGCCGAGCAGGAAGCTGGGGGAGAGAATGTGGCGAGGGGCTGGGGGCGGCTGGAAAGTTCGCCTTTGCGTTAAAGTTCTGAGCTGTGGGGAAATTTCCACCAAGCCCACAAGGGCAGAAGGGTTTCTGGTGAAAACAGCCCTCCCTCCCGCAGAGGCAAGGTCGACTGTTCGCAGGGAAGCACTCTGTCAGGGTGCGCCACACTGCGGCCAACCCTGGTGAGTGCCTGCGCCCCAAGGACCCTCGGAGTTTGTCAGAATTCTCCACTCCAGAGGCAAGTAAACACTTCACTGTGGCCGAGCAGAGCCCAAGCTGGCTGCCCCCACCCAAGTCCTGCAGGGACCCATGGAGTAGACGTGGGCAAATGGGGACCTGGGACACAAGATACCAGAAGCAGATCTCTGCTAGGGAAGTGGTGCCCAGGGCGCTACCAGTTACCAGGAAATGAAGCTTCCCCTTCTGCGATGATGACACTTCCCCTCTGCCACTTCCCCTTTCCCACGGGGAACTGACTCAGCTTTCCCTAAACTAGCGAGTTCTGTCCCTCCAGCCCCTGATCTTCAACCTTTATTCACAAACCCTTACACAGGCACCTGGGACTATAGAGCACACACTTAAGGACAAAACTTCCTATATACTAGTCACATTCACTTTGCCAGCCACCTCGGATCCTGGTTCCCACCCAGGACCCAGAAGCCTAACTCCCACCCACCCCCTCCCCCATAGCCCTCCCTCAGGGTCTGATTCAGGCTTGGGGTGGCAGAGCGTGAGTCACCCAGAAAACCTTCTTCCCTAGTTCCCACTGACTCAGCCCCCGCCTCCCCGAACTCACACAGACACACAGTCAGAGACAGACACAACTCCTCAGCCCACACACTGCTCACCACTGGTCCGGTGGAATTTCCCCTCTAGTCTCTCTCATGACAACCCCTCCCCCGCGTCGGGCAGCCCCGTCGCCGCATTCACACCTGTTCCCCGGCGGTCGGGTCGCAGTACACTCTCACCTCCACTTTCGCTTCGGAGTAAGAACAGCCCTCCCCGACTCCCAGTGTCCATACTAACCAAAGGGAGAGGACAACCACTGACAGGCGCAAAGACAAGACACCCACAGACTTCTTGAAGACAGACAAGAGGTAGACGCGCATGGCCAGAGCCAGGTTGGGAGGACGACACTTCGGAGACAGACATTCCAGCCTCTCCCAACCCGGCCCACAATCCCCAGAGTCAGCGGCTCTGAAGGGGTTAATTCCACTCCTGCAGAGACCACGCCCTCTCCATCCGGGCACTCCCGGCAAAGCCCAGCTCCTCCCCCTCCATCCGGGCTCTGGACTCCGGGACTTTGACCGACCCCCTCCTGGTAGAGCCCCAAGAGAGAACCACTCCATCAATCACACCCACTTAACTCTCTCTGGGCTTAAGGTGGAGGAGCCCCTCCGCGCGGCGCCCGAGCCGTACGGACGCATGGTCAGAGACCTGCCGTGCCCATGCAGACTCAGTACCGCCAAGGACTAGACCCTGCAAATGGGGTTTTTACCGAGCAGATAGCAGACTGCAGGAGCCCAAGGTGGGGTTGGTCCAGGACCCCGCTGCATCCCGCTCCCGGTCTATTCTACCTGGTGGAAGCGAGGAGTTAGAGACTCGCTTCCTACCTGGGAGAGGGGGGAGGCGTTGGGGAGGGCCGCCAGCGGAGACTACGCTGTGACTCAGCCACCCGGGCAGACCGCCCGCCCGGGATTCCCTTCCCCAGCCTTCCCCCGCCGCCGGCCCCTCCCCGCCTCCCATCAAGGAGTGACACTGCTGGCCCTGGCCCGCTATGTGTCACTGCGGGCCTTGTGTCTGCTTCTGACTGGGCGCTGTGTTCACCAATCTGTCTGACAAGGTCGGCAGTGAGTCCCGGTGTCTGTCTCCGCGTGCACCTGCATATCTGCTCATCTTGTCTCCTCAGTGCCTGTGTCTGACGCGTTCCTGTCATTATCCCTGTCTACATGACTCCGCAGGGCTGTCTCTGTCTGTGTGTCTGCCTGGCTCCTGTCTCGGTCTTTTGTCTGGGTCTGCCTCTGCATCACTCGGGTGATCACGTGTGTCTCTGCACATGCCCTTCTGTGCTTGCCTTCATGTTCCTGAACAGAGTCAGGGAAACACTGGAGCAGGCTTACCCTACTGACTCCACGCCTCACTCCCCTGAATCCTGACGTCTTGCAGAATCAGCGATCCTTCTGTGAGTCAATTACTTGGGGGTCTGTCTGCTTTCAATCAAGTTCTGTCCCATTTCTTAACATCCTTGCTTATCCTCACAGCTCCCTGAAGCTCCTATTATGACAATAATTGCGGCATTCATTGACTACTTATTAGATGCCAGGCACTGTTAAGCATTTTACATACTTTTTTTAAACTCTTCCCCAAAACTTTACTATTGGAAGCACTCTGATTATCCCATTTTGTACATGAGGAAATTGAGGCTCAAAGAAGTTAGGTAACTTGACCAAGGTCATTCTGCAAGTGACTGGGACAGCTGCTTTCCAGAGCAACATTCTTGCCACTCTTCTATGCTGCCTCTGTCTTATTCCTTCTCCCTTGGTCTTATCCTCACAGGCCATGTCTGAGCCAACCTCCCTCTCAGCTTCACCCTCTGTTATCATCCAAAATGTCTCATGTGCTCCAGAGAAGGTTTGGGTAGGAGGATGTGCAGCAGATCTCAAAAGTCGTAGGTTTCTTGGCAATGAAGCTCATTCAGTTAACACATTCATTCAACACAAATCCACAGAGGCACCCCAATGTGCAAACCGCCATACTAAACAGTGAGAGATACATAAAAGAAAACAGTCCCACTCAAGAAACTCAAGTGAGTAATGGGGAAGAGCAACACACACTCATGAAACTTAAGTCCCTGGCTTAGACAAGATCTCTTTCTCCTATAAAGGAAAAGGGAATATAGCCGAGCCTCAGACAGAACTGGGAGAAGGAAGGAGGGAAACAAAATGAGGATTAGGACTTTAGGTGTGGGGAGCAAATGCATGGGACAGAAAGGGATTTGGAAGGAAAGATGAGATGCTAAGATCGCCATGACAATAGTGTTGGGGCAGTGATCTCCAATATCTCTCCACTTCAATTTCTAACATCCTTCATAAGCCAAGTTATCAACAACTCTTACAGGAGTAAAGCCCTCTCCCTCCGAAGAAGAATTCTTCCATGGTATCTGACATCTACTTTCAACTTACAAATCCTAGCTTAATTCAATCAGCAACTGAGTTGCTGAGTTGGCATGGGGTAGAAGATTTTTTTGGTGGTAGTAGAGAGGTTGGTGAAGTGCAGGGTTGAACCATTCATAGGAGACAAGGGGAGCTTCATAAACCAGGAGGGCTGAACCACTCAAGCACTACAAGGTGGGGGGAAGCTCAGAGTTGGACTAGACCATTCTGAGGAGTTGGCATGATCCAGATAATTTTTAAACATGGGGTGCAGGGCTGGACTTGGGGCGCACTCAAGGGAATGGACTTACCAGATGGAGTTTGGTGTGCCCTGTCTCATTAGAACAGTGCCCCAGCAGTGGGGTGCAGCAGACCACAGTGGAGTGGGTAGTATTATGGGGCTGGCATGGTGCCTGGGGGGAACCTAAAAGAAAAAAAGTCATTTAGAAGTGGGGTTCTCCCAGACTGAAAGGTTTCTCTGTGCTCCCTATCCCCCTTCACTGAGGAGAAACCTGGCTCTAGTGGTCAGATGAGATGGAAGAATTGGTTTCCATGGCAACCAGAAAAAGCCATCCCCAAAGTGATCCTCAACCTTCCCTTTGAGGAGGCATCCTGACCAGATGATAAGGAGGCATGCTATGGAATGTAAGTCTACAATTGGGCACCAACTGACTGGACCCCCCTGCTGACTCTCTAGCCTCAGAGTAGTTTCATCTGCCCCTGACAGCAGTACCAAGGCCAGACTCAGTTCTGGACCCAAGGCATGCAGACTTTCTTCCTCCCAAAGGTTCCACTCTCCTTATCAAGACACCAAACAGTCAATCCCACCCTCTGGACTCTGCCCCCTCCCCTTCCCCTAGGCGGGTGCAGGCAGGTCTTGGCGAGCAGCACAGGTGGCCAGACTAGATGAACGGGCCCAACAGGGAGAAGCCTTCCTCCTCTGTAAGAGCTATGACTCTGGGCCTGAGCCTGGAAGTGGCCTCTGCTGCAAGCCCCCCTCCATCCTACCCCCAAGGACATATCCTGTTTCCCCATCACCTCCTTCCTCTGTGTGGCCCAAGAAGGTGACAGAGGCCCATCCCTTCCCTTCCAACCCTCAGAAAAAAAGAAGTAGGTATTTAAACCTAAGACCAGGGCCAGGAACCAGGTGTCCATCCAGGGGTCAGAACTCAGTTAACCCTCAACTCAGACTCACTCCTCAGGGGCTTACGTGTTCTGTTCCCCTCTTCAGTTTTCAGCCCCTACAGACCCAGACATTTGGTTGGACTCCCAGTCTAGTCTCTCCATTCCCTGGTCTTCCAGCCTCCATCCTTCCCCCTGCCCTAGAGACTCAGGCCTGTGGCCCCCAGCCTCCATGATGCAATGTGCTGCAAGTCTCCATGGCTGCTGATGACACTGCCCCCAGGGAAGTGTTATTTCTGACCCAAGCAAGGCCCCTCATTCAGCCAGGGCAGTGGTCAGCTGCAGGCTGGGAAAACAAGGCAAGTAAGGTCCTTCTGTTGGAAAATGGAACTTGAAGCTAGAACCCTCCAGAACAGTGAGACTCAGAATACAGCACTAGGGAGTGTATGTGTACAGTTGACAGCCTTTGTACATGTGGTTGTGTAGTGGGGAGGGAGCATATGGGTCTAGCCTAGAGAGGGAAGTGAGGAGGACAGACTGAGATGAGGAGTGAGGGGCAGCCAAGGTAATCAGATGGGTGTGTAAGGGGCATCTGGACACCAGAGTGGGGGAGGGGCCAAAACCATTTAAAGGGCCAACCCCAGAGCTCTAATCCCTCACCAGCCCTGGCCCCAAGCTGGAGGCTGTAATTCATCTGTCCAACAGCTGGGGTGGGTGGGTGTGGGGGGGGCATGTGAACAGGAAGGGGGATCTGGAGGAGGGGCTGGGGCTTTCTTGTGCACAGAACCAAACAACAAAAGGGGAGCTGAAGGGCCAGTTCCAAAGTACCCAGGCCAGGCTGCTGACCTGTAGACCTGCTGGTGTCCCCTACCTGATGGCCAACAGATTCCATAGTTTAGACTCAAGGATTCTTGGCCAAGGAACACATGGATCCAAAAGTGGGGTCCTGACTAAGCACCCCCCAGGCAGGCTGTCACCTCTCCTTGTATCTTCTAGCACAGCACCATCCCAGACCTGGCAGGCCCTGCAACAGACAGCCTCAAATGCCCTGTTCACCAGCCAAGCCTCCCCAGACAGGCCCTGCCGGCTCCCCCTCCTGCCGGCACAGGGTGGCATCGGCCACACCAAGGCTGTCCCTTTAAATCATTACCACCCCGGATTGTGTGGACAAACCAAGGGCCCTGCCCCCCAGACAGGCGCCTAGACCCCCCCCCACACACACACACACACACATCCCCAGAAATGTGAGGGCCATTTAAAGGGACAACACAGAGGCATCTTGGTCTCTAACGGCTCCTCTTCTCCACCCCATACACACTCACCTCCCCTTTTCCCAGCAACACACAACCCCTGCCCCTCCATAGGGCCCCCCAAATTCCGGTTCTCTCCCCATCCCTAGAGACATTTAGAAAGAGAAAGGGGGCGGGGGGGGGGGCAGAGAACTGGGGGGGGAAGAAAAGGACAGGACTACCTCCTCCCCCAGGGCCCCAGGGAATAGGTCTGAAGGGAAGAGCCCAGAGAAACAGCAAGATAGAGCCTGGAAAGGTGCCTCGGGCAGACCTGGGGAGCACAGGCTGAGCAAGAGGAAGGGAGTCAGGCTGCACGAGACCGAGACCGCGACCGCGGTTGGTGCGGCCAGCAGGCGACAAGCCCAAGTGGGGGAGATGGAACCGGAGGGCTAGGGAAAGAAGGCCGAGGAAATCGGGGAGACGGAAGGGGGAAAGGGGTCATCCAGGAGGGTGTGGAGGAAAATCAGAGGCGGGGAGGGCGATCCTGGCCAGGGTTACCTGCTGGGTGTCTGTCCCCCGGCGGTGCCCCCAGAGTCCGGGTAGGGAGGGGGGAAGCAGCAGGGAGGGGAGTGGGGGCTGGGGGGGCGGGGGAGACGGTCCCTCCTCTGCCTCCTGGGCCTGCCCCGGCGCTTGCAGCCTCTGCCTCCCTCCCTCCTCCTCCCCGTCCCTGAGTCCCGGAGTCAAACAAAGAACTGTAGCA